TTTGCGAATTCAAACCAGGTTAAAAAAATATCTTTAAAATCAAACTACCAAAATACTTCAAACGATAGCTACACATTTTTACCTCTTCTGTACAATGATATTTTTCTGACCATATTATGGACTTTGATAAAAATGGGTCCATAGGGAATTCAGCCATGCGCCTTCCTAATTTTGTTAATTCGCCGTGATTGTTTAAAGCTCCAAGTGCGTATAAATCATTAAGTGCGGATATTAGAGATTGCTCATGAGGAGGATCCAGAAATTCAAATCTCATCACATCGTGAATCCCTATACTCTGTTAGGAATAATTAAAACTTTTGAATCTTCCATCAAATATATATATATATTCAACGAAATGAATTAAACAAAGTAATAGGTTCTATATACCTTTAACATCAGTACCACATTTCCTAAATTAGTTCTTTGGATTTCAGGAACTGTGCTTTCTTCCAGTTCATTAGCATATGCATGCTTGGTGTATAATCTGAAACAATGTCCTGGTCCTACACGTCCGGCTCTTCCGGCTCTTTGAACTGCAGATGCTCTTGAACACTATATAAAAAGTCACAATTAACGAATTTATTTTTTTTTAAAAAAATTATTTTACGTATCACGAATTTAAAAACGTACCGGGACTACTAATAAGGATTCCATTCGTGTTTTGGGACTATAATTATTTTGTTTTACAAAGCCGGGATCAATTACATACGTGACACCTTCAATTGTGATAGAAGTTTCGGCAATATTAGTAGCCAAAATGACCTATTTATAAAAATTAGAAATAACAAAGTTGTATCAATTAACGCAATAATATGAATCTGTTAAAAAAATTACAATGTAACCTTACCTTTCGGGCCCCAGGTGGTGTTGGTTCAAAAATTTTAGATTGCATATCGGGAGGAAGATTTGCGTAAATGGGACATATTATCAATTCACGTATTTTACTTCCAAGAACTCTACACGTCTGCTGCAAACTTTCTTGAACCGTTTCAATTTCATCTTGACCCTTAATATAAAAAATAAAGGGAGGTTAGACAACTTGAATTTTACACGTATAATAAATCCGTTGATACACTTACTGTAAGAAAAACTAAAATATCGCCACTCTTTTGAGAAATATGCAATTGCATAACCGTGGTAATTGCTGCAGAGATATAATTTGCTTCGGGTGCTTTAGTGTAGCAAACTTGAACTGGATATGGTTTACCAGGAACTATAAAGTAAAGTGAAAAAATTTCAAAAAACTGATTAGCATAAAATACACATTTTAACTTTATAATGATAATAAAATCTTACTATTGAAAATAGGCGCCTCATCAAAGTAATCGGAAAATTTCTTGGCATCAAGTGTTGCACTAGAAATTAAAATCTTAAGATCAGGACGAACTCGAGCAATATCCTTGAATTTAATTAAAAAGTAGTAATAAAAGATGTCAAAAATAGATAAATGGCAACAAATTCAAAAGGTAATATTATTACTTAATATGTATTACCTTAACTAAACCAAATAAAATATCTGTGTGTAAAGTCCTCTCGTGTGCCTCATCAATAATAAGACAACTATAGCTTTCTAGTAAAGGTTCAGTCAAAAACTCCCGGAGCAGCATACCATCTGTCATATACTTTAGATTGGTTTTATCTGACGTACAATCTTCGAACCTAATCGAATATCCAACCTAAAGAATTCCATTATTCAAATTTTAATAATTGTATAATAATAATATGGTAAAGCATACGTAGAAAAGTTATGTCAATTACCTCATACCCAAGTTTTACTCCCATTTCATCAGCTACACGTGCGGCTACACTCATAGCAGCAACTCTCCTTGGCTGTGTACATCCTATTTTTTTGTTTCCTTTGGTGTACCCTGCTTCATATAAATATTGAGGAAGTTGGGTTGTCTTTCCAGATCCAGTTTCACCAACAATCACCAAAACTTGATATTCGTTTATTGCACTAAGCAACTGATCATGAAATGCATATATGGGCAAAGATTTTCGGACTTCTTCGATTGATTTGGCTGGAAAAAAAAACCAATATTTAATAAATGTATTAATCGATCAATTTTAATCGAGTTTGTAATATACCTTTTCGTTCCGCCTCGTCAATTTTAGCTATTATTTCATCGTCTTTGCTTTTTGATTTCCAATTCCAATCCAGGAATTCAATAGCATTATCATCAAAAACATAGTTATAATCCTCTTCATCTTTTACTCTATCCTGAGCACCAACCTTAAGTTGAGACTTTACTATCTGATTTTGCTCCCATTGTTCTTGTTCTGTGACAAATTTATTTTGATCACGATCTTCTTCATACCGTTGATATAGAACAGATTCTTTTCTTTTTCTATCTATTTTCCCTTTCTCTGTTATATAATCTGCATGAGGTAAATATTATAAAATTATAATTATTATTATAATATAAAAATTACTAGAAATAATTTTCAATGGGGAAATAAAGAAATACCTTCCGGCATTGAATAATCATCAGTCTTTAGAGATAAATTAAGTCTCTCCTTTGTTAATCTGAGAGTTTCCTTTTTTAATTCCAAATCCTTCCTCTCTCTTTTCGATAATTTTTCGCCTTTGAAAAATGTTTCTTCATCTAATACCCCCAATTCTAACATTTGTAGTTGTTTGTCAGTCCTATCTTTCAAATAGGTTTGACGGGAACGTTCACGAATTTCTGGTAAAACGTGTCTACGTGCATCGGCGTCGTCAGCAAGATTTCGCCGTCTAGCAGTCTCACTCCCAGCTTTTGACGACCGATCTTCTACAACCTGAAAAAATTGAAATGGTTTAATAAATATAATATATATATATATATATATTATATATTAAAAAATTCGGAATTTCTCAAAATTCACCTTACCTTTTTTGTTCTTTCTTTGTCTTTTTTCTTCATGCGATCTGCGAATTCATCTCTTTCTTTAAGATCTTGCGCTCTTTCTTCTTCTTCTTTCATATATTCATCTTCCGACTCTATATAAAAGGAAAAAAAAAAGTAAGCTCATTATCCTAACGATCAAAAGAAATCATTTAACAAATAAATCTTACCAATATCATTAGATTTCGATTCAACATTTTTGAAGTCTTTTTTACTTTCAGAATCACTACTCCAGTCATTATTGGATTCTTTCTTACGTAAATGTTTTTCTCTTTTAGATTTTTTGGGACGGTTTTCTTCTATATCCACAAGTTTATAAGACTTTGTGTTCTCAATCAATTTTTTGCTTTCCTGTTCTTGCCTTTTCCGTTTCAAGGTGGAATCCTGTAAAAGAACGATATCGTCAAATATGTTATAAACATCGAAAACATCCAAATAAAAATATTTCATAGTAAATAAACTTACACTTGATTTAAGTGCATTCTTATGAGGAACACGATCATATAAGTCTTCAATAAATTTCTCGGCTTCCGGAGTTTGTGGAAGTTCGCTCAATTTTTCGCGTAAAGATTCCTTGCTTTTTGCGGTTTGAGCTATATAAAGTATAAAGTAGATTTAGATTCGATAGTTATCTGAGATATGTGAGATATCATCAAAAAAAAAGTACCTTCCGCAATAATGTAATCTACTATAGTTCTTTCAGATATTCCAAGAAACTAATAATAAAATTGCTATTAGTAAACCTATTTTTATCTTAAATATATTCATTTAAAGTCATTTTTAAGAACCTTCAAAGTGTTGTCTGACACCCAAGAACGTAAATCCATTTTCAAAAAATTTTATTTCTTAGATTAAGGTTGAAGTGAAGATTACATAATACTTCCATATCTGGTGACTATAGTGAATTGTGAATATTGAGAATTGCCTCAATATAGTCACAAAATTTATATTATTGGGATTATAAAGAATTTTATTACTTTATGTGATTATGATATATTTTGGGTTAGCACTTAAGAATCATATGATTTAGGGGTTGAAGTTAAAAGTCATGTGATTTACTTTGAAATGTACCTTTGATGCATATGATCTTTAACAGTATACTCAAATATCTACCATGTCTCAAATCTACTACAAGTTTAAAAGCGCTAAAGATTATGATACTCTCACCTTTGATGGGTTAGGAATTACCGTATTTGATGCTAAGAAAGATATTCTAACGGCTAAAAAACTAAAAGGAAATGACTTTGATATTGTAATTTCTCACGCCGAATCAGGCGAAGGTAATGGATTAATTCTTCAGAAGATGAATTACCTATTTATTGAAAAACAATTAAAAATTTTGATAATGAAAATAGACTATTCGGAGGACACTGCAACTATTCCAAGAAATACTCCAATAGTTGTGCGTCGTGTCCCAACAAAACCGGGGAAAGGAACGGCACAACGTTATTTGGAGGGAGGACCGGCATCGCAGCGAAACTTTGCAGTAAACAATCGAGGGGGTACTGGATCTACCAACGGGTATAAAAATATCATTTAATAATTAAAATATTTTTACTTCTAATTTGTATTAACTTATTTTATTTATTTTATTATATAGAATTATGTCTAAAACCTTCGATCCGTCAAAACAACCACAACAAGTATCACGCACTACTCCCACTCCTGTTACCTCGCATATCACGAATGAAGAACAAACAGAAGAAGATAAAATAGCAGCAATGTTTGCCCAAACAACCGAATTTTGGGAGAGGACTCAAGAACAAATGGCTTCGTAAGTTCGCTTTTTAGATAACATTTAAACATTTAGACATTTAAAATTTTACGGTAAGCGTTCAATGATTTTCATTTATTAAATATTTTTAGTAAGCCTCCTCTAAGAAAAATTCCCCAAGTTCGCCCACAAGTGAAACCAACAATCCAAAAAGCTCTGCCCCCTAATTATGTTTGTTATAGATGTGGACAAAAGGGTAAATATTACCTTAAGTTTTGATTCAATATTTATAATTTTTTTATTATAATTATTTTATTATTATAAAACTGATAAAATAATTAAATCTATTTAGGACATTGGATACAAGCATGCCCCACTAATGGTGATAGATCTTTTGACCATATGAAAGTTAGAAAAACAACAGGAATACCAAGGAGCTTTTTACAAAAAGTTGAACAGGTGCCCCCAGGGAAAGGTGTTCTTGTAACACAAGATGGAAATTTGGTGATAGCACAGGCAAATGAGTAAGCATTTTAACATTTAATTATGCACATTATTCGAAAGATATCTAAATGCATCAAGACTTGATTAAATTAATTTTTTAATTTCTAGTGCTGCATGGCAAAAATTCCATGCCCGTCAGAAATCATATGTGACTTCTAACGAAATTCTTGAAGACTCATTCCCGATTCCGACCGAACTCCAATGCATGCTATGCACTCGACTACTAAAAGAAGCTATTATAACACCGTGTTGTCGGGCTTCCTTTTGCGATGAATGTACGTATCGTTATTGTTGCCGATATTGGCTATACTTTATAGAATTGTGCTATGAATTTAATAGTCAGATTAGACAATCTATGTTAGAACTGTATCCATTGCTTTGTTTTTTGTTTTTATTCACAACTTTTTGTTGTAAATTACATATATTTGTTTCTCGAGATTTAAAATTTTTCTTGAGAACTTTCGTAGTTAGTTTTATTCAACAAAATTTAGCATTTTTGATATGGCAAAATTGTCTTATTCCCTTAGATAGCATCATGTTTATAATTTCCAACACAATGTACGGTTCCTTTTGTCTATATGACAAAGACCCATTGTTCATTGTGAGATTTACTTGTAATTTGGTTATTTCAAATTTAATACATTTGGTGAAATTTTTTTCCAAGGAAAAAGTGTGAAAATATCCTTTTAAAGAAATGCATATGTTATGGGAACTCTTTTGAACATTTCGCTCAATATACTAATCTCAAATTGCTGCATCTTAAGATTGTGACCTTAGAATCCAAGTTAACTTATCGTTCACTAACAAAATTGCTCTCATTTCTTTACTCTCTTTACTTTTTTTTTTAACAAATAACACAACAAATTTGTTTATATAAATGGTTTATTGAATAATTATAGGTATACGACACGCTCTTATCAATCCCGAACAAGAAGATCAACACTTCAAGTGTCCAGGTTGCCGATCGCATTTGGTTCCTGATGAGTTAGTTCCTGATAAATCAGCACGAGAAGCTGTAGATAATCATTTGAGGGAATGGGCAAGACGTAGGAATGAACCCGCTACACCTGAAACTAAGGAAGATGAAGGAACAATTAATAGAGTTGCCGTGGATAGTGCCATAGATGGTACCATAGATGGTACCACGGTGGCTATCAATAACATAGATAACTCAACAGTAAAAGAAACGTTGACGATAGATTCATCTAATGTTGAAATTCCATCAAAACCAGAAGAAAAGGAGAACAAATCAAATGATGTAGTAGAAATTGTGAAAGATAATGTGGAGGATTCTGGACAGCCTTCTCAAATTCAAAAACCTAAACCAGAACCGGTAGGTAAATTATTTTATTTTAAATTTTAAATTTTTAAATAATTTAATTTATTTCGTTCTTTACATACAGAACAGCAAGGCAGAATTACCTAAAAAACTGATACACGATTTGCCACCAGTTCCATCACAGCAACAAACGTCCAACATTCCACAAATCAATCAGCAATCTCAATCTTATCAACAATCACAAGTTCTTCCTCAACGGCAACATCAATATACTAATAATAATATCGGAAAATCCTTCAATCAAAATCCAATAGTTTCACAAGGTTATGGTCAACTTGGATATTATAACGATTATGGATTCGGATACGATCAAAATCAAGCATTTTGGTATGATGAAGGTATATGATCGAGAAGAATAATACATCTAATTGTTTGTCAAAAAATTTCCTTTTCAGGTTTTTTGATTATTAACTTTTATTATAATTTACTTATAAGGTGGATACCCTCAAATGAATGTGAATATGATGAACGGACCTGGATATTATGATCCATCATATTTTGATGGATTCTATCCCTCAGAACCATTCCCTTCCCAACCACAATTCGTGCCACATTTTAGACCACCTATGTACGAAGATTTTTGGGATAATAGGCCGGTTCTACAACCACAAAGTAATTTTGCACCATTTAATACTAACATGGGTGGTGGTGTGTCTGGAATGCAGCCATTTAGGGGTGTTGGCTTCCAACGAGGATTTTCGCGTGGCGGTTTTACAGGCCGCGCTCGCGGTCGCGGAAGGGGTGGGGGCCCCGGGTATTTCAATGAACGTGTATTTCCAAGCGGACGTGGGAGTAGTGATTTCAGACGCGATGCAAGTGTTTCACCTTCAATTGGAAGACGAGAGATGTAAGTAAATGACATATATTGAACTTAAAAAAATAACATTCATTATATCATTATAATAAATTAATTCTTTCATCGATAAGATCGGAAAGACAAGATTTCCGTGAAGACGAATTAAAATACGATGAAGATCGGCTTGTTGATGATTACGGTCGGGATTTGGCACGTCGTAAATCATCTGTATCTCATGTTTCAGCAGATAAAGATAATGATATCCGGGATAAACATTCGCCTTCTATTTCTGAACGTGAGAGACGTGATAGAGACCCAATACAAGGACGTGACAGAGATTTGATGATACAAGGACGTGATAGAGATTTGATACAAGGACGTGATAGAGATTTGATACAAGGACGTGATAGAGACTTGATACAGGATGAAGATATTGAAAGTAGAAGACCTCGAGAAAAAGCTCCAACCCGTAGTAGAAGCAGAGAACATACTCGTAGAAGTAGAAGTATAAGCAGGTCGCATAAATCTAGACGACATCGTGAAGAGTCTCGCCATAGTAGATCTCCTATAAGAGATACTCGTAGTAAACCCTCAATTTCTTCAAGAAGAAGTCGAGATAAAGATGATCGCCGATATTCTGATGATAGACGATATTATGAAGAACGTCGTTATTCTGCGTCTGAAAGAAGAGAGGATAGACGTGATTCCAATCCTTCCGAAAGACGCGATTCTAACTTTTCCGAAAGAAGAGAAGAAAGACGTGGATCCGCTTTGTCTGATAGAAGAGAAAGGCGAGATTCCGCATTATCCGAAAGGAGAGATGAAACGAAAGTCGAAAGGAGAGATGAAAGGAGAGATGAGAGAAGGGATGAACGAAGAGATTCTGCTTTATCTGATAGAAGAGACATTAGAAATGAGCCTATAAATGAAAGGAGGGATAGTCTACGATATGATAAACGTGATGTCATTGGTGAAAGAGGTGAAATTAGACAAGTTTTAATGGATGATAGGAAAGAATTTAAGGATCAGTCTATACCTAATGATCATCATAATGTACAAGAAGATTTTAAAAATAGCTGTTCACCTACGGCGAAGCCAATACACGATGAAGATAATAGGGTTGAATATCAAAGTCCCCAACAAGATTCCGATGTTGATGTTAATGTACGAGAAATGCGAGATGACGAGATTAGCCCATCGGCCTCAGCAGAACAACTCTCTGAAGACATTGAACGTAGAACGAGATCACGTTCCCCCAAACAATTACTAGGATCCGAACAATTATTAAATGATGAGGAGGATGACGAAGTTGATAATGTCATTGACGTTTCAACTAATGACGATGACACTATTTTAATCGAAGAAGATATACTAATGAATGATGACAATGAGCCTGCTTCACCTTCTCCCGGAAAATATTCATCATTCTCTGAAAAACGACGTCATTCGTCATCGCACAAGCACCGCAGTAGTAAATCTCACCGAACACACTATCCCGAAAAGGAAGATCAAGATAGAAGAGCAAGATCTAAACATTTAAGTACCAACCCTTCAAGAGATGATCATCATAGTAGTAGTAGTATTCGCAAACATAAAAAACATCACTCATCTCGTCATCATAATAGTAGACATCACCATAGCAGTAGATCAAAAGATGGCGATAATAAACGTAGATATAAAGACGCTCCAGAAATACATAGACATCGCAGTAAGTCAAGGGATAGAGATGATCGCCGATAAACGGGGATGCATAGATTACTTTATTATTATTGGCCTCGAAAGGCAAAAAAGATGAAGATTGACTAAATATTTATTTTTGCATTCTTTATCTGTGTGTATATTTCAATTTAGATTATATTTTGAATTTTATTTGTTACAATTCTTCAATAAAATTTTCATTTAAAATTATATTTAATATTAATCGATTTTCAAAATTTTATTTATCATCTAAAGATTTATTTAATTGAGATAATAACAAAAATATTTCAAGTAATAATAATACCATAATATTAAATATCTTGATAATCAGAGGTAAACAAACTAAAAGATGCATAATCAATCTTTGTATACAATCTTATCAGATAAAATAATATTGTAGTAATAAATAAATAAATAAATAAAATAATTAAATAATTTGCCAAAATGCAAACAAACAAAAACATTCTTATCAAGTGACATTTCTGACAACATCATCTATTGCTTTTGCAAAATATTCTACGTTTGAAGACGATAAACCTGCCATAGATATGCGACCATTGTTGGTCAAATACACGTGATATTTTTCCTTAAGAACTTTAACTTGGGGAGCTAGAAGAAAGAAGACAATGGCAAAATTTGATCATTGATTCGAAAAAAAAAATATATAATAAAGTCTATATATTAATAATAATGGATTTTATGTATACCTTTTAATCCAGTGAACGAAAACATTCCAATTTGGTCAACGATATGATTCCAAGTACCGGGAGTACCAAGTTCGATGAGTTTATCGAAAAGGCGTCGACGCATTTCTTGAATGCGAGAACTCATAGTCTTGAGATTATTAACCCTATTATAAACATTAAATTTAAATTATAAAATGATCGTTGACAAAGGATCATATTACGTAGACAAGAAAAATCTACCATTCAGCATAAAGTACAGGATCATTAAGTACTAAATTAACAATTCGAGCACCATGTGCTGGAGGGTTAGAAATTTCCGAACGTTGAAGAATAGCAAGTTGACTTTCTGCTTTGATAACAGTCTCCGAGTTTTTGAAAACAAATGTGAGACAACCAGCGCGTTGACCTAGTACGAAAACCAAAATAAATCATTGCAATTTATTTATTTTAAAACATATATATTCATTAATGCATATAATACAAACCATATAATCCAAAGTTTTTGGCATAAGACTGACAGACTAATAACTCGAAACCACGATTCACAAAATAACGTACAGCCCAAGCATCACGGTCTAAGTCACCACTAGCAAAACCTTGATAAGCACAATCGAAAAAGGGAAAATGTTTCTTTTCCTATAAATTGATGAAGTATTTGTAACAAAAAAAAATGTCGAATTATCCAAAATTTGATATTTGATAACATACTTCCATGACATCAGCAATAGCCTTCCATTGCTCTTGAGTAGGATCTACACCAGTTGGATTGTGAGCACAAGCATGCAATAATATAATAGATTCATTCGGTGCGTTCTGTATGAAAATATTTTTTTTTTTTAAAAAAAAAAAAAAAAAAAGTAGTTTTTTCACAAAATATAAACAAAATTTTAAAGAAATATACTTTGAGAGATTCCAACATGCCGTTGATATCTAATCCTATTGTTTTTGGACTATAATAAACATAATCTTTGACTTCAAGACCGACATTACTGAAAATTGCTTTATGGTTTGCTAAATAATAATATAATAAAAATAGTGTATTCAAGTATTAGGATTAATTTAATGAACAAAAATTTTAAACATATAATGCATACCCCAGGTCGGATTGGACACATATATTACGGAGCTTTTACGATAAAATCGCGATAGAAAGAGTGATCCTAAGTGATTAGCACCTGTGCCCGATATAGTCTGGACGGCGATAACCTATGAAAATAAGAAGTGATGAGATTTCGCCAATGAAGGATTAAATATGTATAATATTATTTACTCGTTTTTCTCTGATAACTGGGTTGTCGGAACCAAGAATCAATTTGATCGACGCTTCTCTAAAAGGTGGAAGTCCCAAAATTGGTAGATATTCATGATCTATTGTAGGATCATTTACGATAATTTGTTCAGCCTAAAAAATTAGAATTTAAAGCGTTATCGTTTTTACGTTTTTACTCGCTTTTACTTTTATTTTAATATATTAACCTTAATTAATAAAAAGCAAATACAAAAATAAAAATGAAATTATGAAAGCTAAAGTTACCTTTTTTACAACTGGCAATACCCATGGTTTTCCTGAATCGTCTCTGTATGCTCCAACTCCTAAGTTGATCTTATGTTGAAAGGTATCTGCTTTGTATTGTGCAGTTAAATGGAAAATGACGTCCGGGGGAGCAAGTGGAATATCCTGAAAATTCGACGTAGCTGATACGAAAATACGAAAAAGTACGAACAAAAAATTTTAAAAAATCCTGTCAATTTTATTATAGAAGAAAATGAGTAAAAAAATAATAATTACAATCCATTGGTAAAAGATGTGTTTTAATTTGGAGCAGGCGCTTGTTTGATGACATTGAAGAAATATTTATTTTATATCAAAAGATTATCAATGCGATAACCGATGGATTCTTCTAAATATGTAATTTTAACTACATATATATCAGTAATTCTAAAGTCCAGAAATAGAAAAAATACATTCTGCGATTTATTAAACGTGGGAAAGTTACAATTTGTAAATCAAGATACAATAAGGAAATAATCGACAAAAAAAAATTTTTAACATGAAAACGAACGAATTTTATTCGGAATATTTCGGAAATATTTATATATATATGGCAATTTTTCCCCTTATTTTGAAAAACACAAGAGATTGTATGGAGTTTGACCAACCACAAATTTGTAATTTTGTCAAAAAAATATAAATAGATATCGATATCAAATTCCACCCCACCACTTAGATCAATATTTCGTTGATCGAGCAGATTGCTTGGAAGTGGCGAGGTTTTGAAGATATATATGTCGTGCTTTGAAGGAGCTTGTGAAATTTCACGTAGATTTGAACTTGATATTTGTTCTCAATTATATAAAAATAAAATAAAATACAACTTAAATGTTTTGAACAATTATTTATTTTAAGATAAAATCCAAGAATGTTGATACAACTCACGATCCAGCTGGCCGACCCCTTTTCCTCTTCTTCATCTGATTGGCGCCTGTACAGTGGTCGCAGAACCACCTGCCTTCAGGTACGGCTTTTAGTCCTACACAATCGAGATGATACCACTCGATGGGACAATTCTATAAATCAAATCAATCAATTGAAAATAAATAAAAAATTATTCAATGATGATTATTCAATGATGATTATTCAATGATTATTCAATGTATGGCTTTTGATTCCTTACCTCGCCGTCACAACCAATCATCTCACCAAAACTAACTTGTCGACAAATGCAATATACGGGCTCGTTAGGATCAATGGCCTGAACGTAGCCTGATGAATATGTGTCATTATCAACGATAGGTGCATAATCATTTGAAGTGGTCTCTGCGTCCAAAAAGTTGATGCTATTAATTTCATTCGTTCCCTGATCAACGAAGTCCGGATCTAGTTGATCATCGCCAGAAAATAATCGTAACTTAATACTTCTGGAGAGACTGCTATTATTGTTGACATTCATAGTAGAGTCTGCATTTGCCATGTAAGTAGGAGTATTACTTTGAGAATTACTGTAAAATAAAGGATAACTAATTATCAAATAAAAACCATAAAGACAAAAACTAATAATTTCCACCAAATATAAAAAATGAACCTCTGTTTTCGACGTCTACCATTATTAGGATTAGTAGTTATTGATGAATGTCGTCGTCCGGGCGTTGTTGAGTCTTTTATCAGAGAAGGAAATGTCAATAACAAAATTCCTTTTAAAAAATAACACGAATTAAATTGATACCTTTATTGCAGCGAGTTGCAGAGGAACTTGAAGGATTTGGCAATAAAGGTAGTGCTGTAAATAATGAAAATAATATAATATAAATAAAATAAAAAAATATTATATTATATGCGATTTAATGTACATTCGAGAGAAAAAAAATAGCTTACAAAATTGACCTTCTTCGGCAGATTCTGCACCCGACGGATAATATAATCCTTTGATTTGATCAAAGGATGTTGCATTAGTGAATGTCGACGTCGTAGCCTGTGTTGGTGCTGTAGGTGATTGATTTCTAGTAGTTATTTGTGGGGTAATCTGTACGTTATTTGAATCAGGTGATTCCTGAATTGCAGTAGCTGCATTCATTGTATCTGTTTTGTTGGGACTAGAAGGTTCTGAGATAAAAGATTCATTAACATTTTCTCGAAGATTATGTTGCGGAAATAAACTATCAAAATCTTCATCGAGACGTTTAATATGTCTTTCAACCTAAAATATATAAATTTATGAACGAATTAATGTATAATTAGAATGGTCGAACTCTCTCTCCCTTAAATAAAATGAATCGATGATTTTACTTAGAATAAAAACGAAAACTAACTAAAGCAAGGGCTTTATCTGCAATTTCAATTTTCTCGTCTTGCAATTGTGATGCTCTCACATGATCTTTAATTATTTTATCTTTAAGAACTTCCTCGTCTTCGAATTCGGTTATCACACGAGCAACGCGACGCCGTTTCTTTTTTAAAGAATTCTCAGAAACCTGCTCATCTTCATTTCTACCATCCTCTTCACTATCTGATTCATTCCCTCCCTCCTGATCTTGATCTTCATAAACGTTTTCAACAACAGAACAATCGCTGTCTTCATCTTCAAAGGGAACTCCATCATATAAGCACCATAACCTTTTTTTACGTCGTTCAATTCTTTCCGTTATTCCTTATAATACAATTAGTGCGTTAGCAAAAAAGGGCATTATTTACATGACCAAAACCTAAAACGCACTTACTCTCAATTTCTTGATCTTTATTTGATAGCTCAGTAAAGTGATAATTAATTTCCGAAGGAAGATTATCAATACCTATAATGAATTTATGTGAGAATCACGTTAAAACATGATTTTTTCCAGAAACCTTGGAAGTTGAATCCCAAGAGATAAATCTTTACAGTCTGATCCGTACTTCCTAGGAACTGAATCAAATACTCGTTGGCGTCAATTGCCTCCATTTTGATAATAAAGAGTAAAGAATAATTTCAGCAAATTTGTGCACGAGATCCAGAAAAAATGTACAGTTTTAAGTCAAAATTGAATAAGTAATTTGAAAGGAAATTAAGAAAAGTGGAAAGCGAGGAATAAATACAACTGAGAAGCATGACGGAAGTTCCATTTAATGATCTACGTTACACAAAATTTCATATGAAATAAGCATGGTTAAAAATCCATTTATTGGATATTTATTAGCCACTAAAATTATGCAAAATCCTGAATTCATGTGACAATTTTTAACGTACACTCACCTAGCAAAAGTATCCGACCACTTAAAAATTATTAATTACAAAGTAAATTTTTATCCGTTAATAAC